CCCCAAAACCCCAAAACCCCAAAACCCCAAAACCCCGAAAATTAAGATTAAAGAGGGTATAGAAGGAAACTTAAAATGATTAAATTTAACAAATCGTAAAATCCTCTTATTAATCATATTTATCTTAATAATTTCAATCCTGGACAGAATACGCATGTTAAGAAATTATGATCCAGATCAATAAATGTATGACTAGCTTCAGTGAAGTTTCTGGACTAAATATTCAAATATTCTGCTAAGTAATTCCTTGTTTGCCACTCTGATCTCATAGTTATTGCATAATGTTAAATCAATAAGTAGAGGTCCTATTTCCTTAACATGCTTTCTTAACTATACAGATTAATAATTGCTAATGTTCTTACATCATCCTCAGAGAGCTTAAGTAGATTTGCCAAGATAATATTAGAAACAATGGGTGTGATATTTTAGAGCTGTCTTTCTAACTCATTCTCATGCAAGTTGCTTAGTGACAACTATTTCTCCTCACCTTCATTCTCTATATCGTCTTCAACATCAGCGACGTTTTTATTGCTTTCCTCCTGCTTGCTATTGTTGATAGTAATAAGCTCACTTTGCTATAGGCAATAGTCTTTAAGTACTTTTGAACATAATTCAAAGAGCTTTTTAGAGTTAGACTCGACATTCTAGCCATCTTTGGGGTTAAAGTACATTTTGAAAAGGATTGATAGATAGGTTGAAATGCTTTCTCTTTCCTAAGCAGTTAAGCCAGGTAGTTGTTTAAGATCAGCCATAAAACCTTCATTCCAAAGTTTCAATCTCAAACCAAGTTCTTGGTTAAACTCTTTTGCAAATTTATAAGATTTGTCAAGGCATTCTAGTAGTATGTACAAATTCTAAGAAACCTTTAAGGGATTAAAAATTTACATGAAGTGACAATTAATCATAGAATTTGTCAACAGTGTCAGCAACTGTGTTTATGAGCAGAAGTTAGACGATGCATTTAGTGAAGCAAGCATCTTGATTAAATGGTAGTTCTGTGCCTTATTTAGAGCTTGATTCAGAGAGATTAGATGGTCTTCCCTTGACAACTATCTATTATCTCCCATCAGAGTGCTGCTGGCTTTCTTAGAATCTCTCTTTTTCCTCGATCAAGCTTACTGGAATTGTGGCTTCAAACAAATTTTGTAGCGAAATAACATATGAGTTCCATTGATTTGGTGAAATACTCTTGCCAACTTAAAGTATGAATTACTTAAACTGATTTATCACAACTGAGGCAATATGTTTCTAAAAAATTTAAGGCTTTAGATTTATACCTCATTAATATTTGAAATAAACAAAGCAAGGACATCAATGTAATCTGGAATAAGTTATCTTAGAGTATCAATATGCTGAATCATAAACTGATTCATCCTTTCTAATAAGTCCTTAATGGTCTCCTTGAAGAACTCACTATCAGTGCTAAAGAAATATGAAAATGATTAATTTTACTTTTTGTTTGGAATTTCTACAGCTAGATGAATGTCTTCCAAAAGTGGTAAGATAATTTAATTTAGAATTTCCTTCCAGAAGTCGAGAGTGAAATCTTGATTATAATCATTAAGTATTTTAAATAAGACAGTAAATGCCTAATCTTGAATATCTCTTCTTTTTTCCATAATAAGATTAGTTAGATTAGTAAGAATTGGGAACCAAAGTCCTTTTTAAACACTGTGTCTTATTCTTGATTCATCTGGTTAGTCGATATCACCAGCAATGTATTAATTATTACTATTAGATCTAGATGATTTTAGGTCTTCCTTAAGTGGAGATTACTTTTGAATTCCATAATGTTGGGGATATCTTTGCATGTTATCTCTATCTCTTTGATAGAAGTTAATTCCATTAAGCTTAATAAAGTTTTGTATAATTTCTTTTTTCTACGACAGATTTTTTGCACATTCAAGCAATAGCTCTAGTGCTTCTAAAGATTATTTGTGATATATATTCTTGGTATATTTATTTAGACAGTTAACAAGTTCCACAAAGTTGTCCTCAAGTTAACCGAATTGAGTTTTCACAGCTAATTTTAAAGCTTCAAATGATTCCGTAACAAGGTGTTCTTCTGAATCTTAGGCAGCTAGAGTAAAGATATTGATTATCACAATCCATCCTGACTTGATACATCTTGCTCTTGCTCTGCACATATTTGCAACAGCCATAACAATAAATTCCTTGATCTCTAGTCTTGTATGCAGATTATGAAGCATTATAGTCTCAAATGGCTTAAGAAAGTCTTTTTAGAAATTATAGTGGCCGAATTCATCTTTTAATAAGAATTTATCAGCTAATTGTCTTAGGGAATCTATGGCATAGAGAGCGACATTCAAATTGCTATGAGAACCAACAATGCTGAAATGTTCACTCAAGGCACTCCATATCTTGCTCCAAACAAAACGAATTCTTCCCATGTTAAAGTCAGCCACTTCAACTAATCTCTATAGTGAAAACTTTCTAGGATTTTCAAAATCATTTAGTTCTTCCTTAGAGATTGCGCAAAGATTTTTTATAAAATCTATAATGGCTTCAGAATCAAGATTAACACTTCTTTGAATAATCAGATCAATCTTGTTTAAATCGATATTTTAAACAATTAACTCAGAATTTTGGATCATAGTTTATTCTCTTTCTAATCTCTTCTATAATTAAACATTTTTAGCATTCTTAACAGTAGCTTTGAAGAATTCTGAGTCTTTTCTAGCTCCTGTTCCCAAAACATGCATATAATCAATTTTTGAAATGCAATCAAGAACATAGAACCAACTGTTCTTTAAATAATTACCTTCATAAGTGGCTAGATTAAGTAAAGCTCTGATGCATTCAATATTCTTCTCTTTAATTTCTTTGATGGCTGAAACCTAAGTAAATTTAGATAAGGATGAAACAAAGGCATCTCTTTCAGTGTTCATGTTATAATAGCCAGAAATTTTGATGGCATGAGTAAACCCTTCAATGCATAATTCTGTGATCTTGATATCGTCTGATTCTTCCAAAAGCACAGAGAATACAGCAAGATTGGCACTCCAAGTTGTTTCAAACATTGGCTTTATTGGATCAGTATCATTAACCAAGATAAATTAATCGTTGGTAGATTTCTACTTAATAATCTCAGCACTTCTTTTTATTATTCCTTGAGCTTCTTATGTGTAAAGATGTTGCTTAATTTTGTATGAGTTAGCTTAGGCACCGAGAATTTTAAGTTTTGCATCCTCATCTTCAGCCAAAGTGAATGGCTCTTATTCTACCTTAACATAAATGTCTGTTAAGAAGTCTCTGTCTAAATCTTTGCCACCATTTATACCCTTTGTCATTTTTATGTAATCTTCCAAAGTCATTTTTTCTTTGCTTGCCTATGGATTATGGATACTTGTTTGCAGCATCATTGTTGCATAAGCTAAGATATAAATACACTCAGCATTTCCAAAAGCATCATGATTATCTTTACAATACTTTTCACCAAAGATTTCCATAATTCTGTCGACTTTTTGGCCTTCACCTGGCAATCTGAATCCTGAAAGCATTTTCCTAATCGCGTCCACAAATGGAACATCTTCGAAGAAGAATTGATTGATATATTCATAAAGAACCTTCTTGTTAATCTCAACATCCTCACCTAAGTATTCGCCTATAGCAGTTTTATCTAAAGTAGAAGTAGTTTTGAGGAATGAAACTATATCTGTAATTTATTATTCTACAGGTTCCTTGACTATTAGTTGCTTTGAAATAAGATAGTTGATTCCATTTTTGGGTTTGAAGTTAAATTTAATTGAAGCTCTTAGCAATTCATTTTTAACTTATCTTGTCTTTTCCAAGTTATCAAGAGTATTAGATTTCTTTTCATCTTCCTTTATCTCTTCCTCATCTGAGTGGTTATCTACTGAAGACTCCCTCTTATTTGAGTGAGTTACTTCTCCTAAATATTTAAAGAAACATTTATCTTACTTTAAGCTAATTTGGTTTCAGCTATCTCAGCCTCTATAGTCTTATTGATATTTCTGAGATTTTAAACAAGAATTTATAAGGCATATAATCTCAATGAGTACTCCTCTTAAGCAGTGATAATGTTTGAATGCTCTGTTTTTTAGAATTTACCTTGTGCAATTTTTGACAGGGAGTCTATAATTCTCTCGAATATATTCTTTTATTTGAAGTCACAATCATAGTTAATAAAAATCTCCAGCTAGTGCTTGGTGTTTTAACTGATCTTGTCAAATACAGTCAAAATAAGATATTTATGGTGATAATTTGAATTTCCTGAGTCTAGAATTCTGAGGAAAATCTAGTCAATGAAGACGACTATCTCTTATTTAAGATGTTCTCTGAAATGAAGGAATAGACAATAGAATATGGACAGTGAAGCTGAAAAGATGGTCTTTTCATTTGAAACACTGTATTTCAATAAACTTTCAAAGAGATTGTCTTTAATGATATCAATAAATTCTTTTCTGTTTAAAAAGGTTGTACCAGGCTTCTACACTACTGCCAAAATCAATTCTAGTCCAAGTAGTTTCTGTCTCATTAATAGAGTATTGATATTTTGATTTGGAATCTCTTTAATGCATAGTTTGCAAATACTTTTAAAAATTGTTAGAGCATCAGTAAACCTGATTCTTGCTTCCTCAATGTTATGAAAATTTGGGAAACCTTCTATCTTTGGGGCTTCCATAGAATCAATTAGGTTTACGTGTTTCTATTTGCATTCAAATGAGCAAACAGGATGTCTGGTATCTTTACAATAAAGATTGGCAGCATTTCTACAAACAATACACCATCCAAATTTTCCAGCTGGAATTCCATGTTCATTCTTGATGTCAACTTAGATTTACTTCTTAGTTTTGGTGCCGTCTTCCTTTGAGACTTTAAGGGGAACAGATCTTAATTGAACAGACTTCAATTCATTCTACATCATTTCCTCTAGGGCTTATTTCTCTTCCAAATCGGCACTATTACCAAGAGTAGTTAGTTAAGATAAGTATTTATTGGAAACGAGATCTTGCCTTGCATCAAAGAGGCATACATCATCAACCATATTTTGTACTACTTAGAAAATATATTAATCGTAAGCAGAGAAATTTATCAGAATGTTGTTATTAGTTGAACCTTGCCCTGATGTATTGTGTTAATTATTTGAAGGTATTCCCTCAGTCTTTTGAGATAGCTCTTAACTGATCTTTTCTTCTTCTAATGATATACCCTTCTTCAATTTTAATGACTTTTCGGAATGCTTCACACTCAAGTCGCCATCATCAGTACTACTGTTAGTCTTATGATGAATGAAAGAATTTCTTTGTTGAAGTTTACTGAGTGCAATGCCAAAGTTACCTGAACATGCTTCCATTCTCTCAAAGACACTATTAATCATCTATGTCAATGATGCTTTGGCAGTATTCTAATTGATCGCATAAGTGGTTGCTATATTAATAAATTTTCCTAATCATCTTACTGATATGAATTTAATAGCAGGCTCTGAATATTTCAAACAGGGATTTTTCGTGTACTTTACAGTTAAATGTGAGAACAACACAAAGTAATGTCTATGAGTTAAAAATTAAGTGATTTATTGATCTTACTTTGATAAGTTGCAATTAGACGTGGCTATCTTTATCAGTTGCACAATTGCATAGTGACTCAACAATGGCATCTATCAATTTCCTAGGTAGCTTGCCATTACGAGCTGGTGGTTTCTGATCTTCAAGATAAATACAGTTATCCTCGCAGTTTCCGTCCAAAAACTCATAAGAAATCAATTTTTGGATTATGTAAAGAATAGGATCAATGATTTTCGTGATTTTCGTGTCAAGGGCCATCTTCAGTATATAGAAGTACTTATTAGCATTGTACGGTCCCTCTTTATCTTGCTTTACTTTCTCTATAAATTATAAGAATTTATTGATTTATAAATACCAGTAGCCTCTATGCAGAGGTCCTTGAGCTCCTTATATTTCTTGGGCAGTTGTTTCTAAATTTTTTCGAATGCTTTAATTAGCAATTCACTATATTGTAGATATGGGTCTTTTGCAGCAGGTTCCATAAGTTATCTTAATACCTTTTAAATTAATATTTAAATATTGCTTCTTATCAAAATTTTAATACTTTTTATTGAATAAGTCCTTCAAAAATGAATTTCAGGGGTTTTGGGGTTTTGGGGTTTTGGGG